GAGCTTTCCTCCTCTAGGGCTTCCAGTGAGATGTTTAACTGGTGACAAGCCAACAAATCGCCTCTGAATAGCTGTAACAGTGCTTAGTACTGGGTTCGGTAATGTTGCCTCTGGAGTAACCTCTGCTTTCTGTTTCAGTGATGCTCCAGCCTTTCGACTACGACCCCAATGAGAAAAGCAAACACAAATTCATGGTGCAGTCGATGGTCGCGCCGTCGGACACCACCGATATGGAAGCAGTTGTGAGTATCGTGAATCTATAGATGTGTTTACACATGGATCATTCATTCTCACTCCTGGTTCCTATGGTTATTTCTCAGACTGTCTCTGAAAGCCTTTAGTGTGTAGTTGTCACTTTTACTAGTTGTCCTTTGTACAATCTTCCAATAGAAATATTGTCCATATATTTTTACAAGTGGCGTTCTCTGGCCCTCCTGTATCATTGTAGCTGCTTATCGTGTGCTGCCCTTTGGTGTGTGGCTTACTGCCAGTTTGTTTCTCTTCTCTAGCTGTTATAAAATGCATGAAGTCTAATGAAGTGAAATAGTTTTTCTGTATGACGTTTGTGCTGCTCACGTTCTCTGCATAGATGAAGGGAGTAGAAATGACCTTATTTAATTCCTAACGCAATGCACACAGCAGATCTAGTTTATGATTCCTCCCAGAATCCTTTTCATTGTTGCTGTAATGCTGCCATACAAACACATCCATTGTTTCAGGTTTTATGATCTATTCTTTGCTAACTGAGCTTTCATTTGGTTTTCTTTTCATTTTACTCTCGTTTGTAACTTGTTCAGTGGAAAGAGGCCAAGCCTGAGGAGCTCATGGATTCCAAACTGCGCTGTCAGTTTGAGCTCCCGTCAGAGAATGAGAAGCCTGTGAGTATCCTGTTTTTAATGACCTACAATGGTATAGATGTGTAAAATAAAATCCTGGAATTAACGAAAACATACAATATTTTGCTCTTATAGAAAACAGTGCAATTTATTACCTTCTCTGTGATAAAGTGAATACTCATTATCGCTTTACACACAATCTCATGGGAGATCAAAGAAACGTTTCTTGGCAAATTATCCAATTCCTCCAGTATTTACATTTACCTTTTCTTAGGCTATGCTGCCAATGGCAGAAATAAAAACATCCATCTTTACCGGAGTCAAACAATATGTAAAGCACTCCTGTAGGGTGTAAACATGTTTAAAACTAGAGCAGGGTATATGACTCTGCAGAACTTACTGTTTTATATACAATGGCATTTTAACACACAAAACATGACCTTTTGATTGGCCGCTTTTAATTCTCGACTTGTCACACAATTCTTGTGTCTTTTCAGCACGAGGGAGAGATAAACCAGGTTATCTCTAACACGGTAACAAAGACCGAATCATCCACTCTGTCCAAATCGATAAGCTCTAATTTAGATGATGGAGAGTATAAGAGATTGCTAGATGATCACAAGCGGCTGCAGACTGAAATCCAGAGGCTACGAGAAGAAAATAAGCAGGTTAAGGTACTCTCTCTAAATGTCACTACATCTTGCATTCGTGAGCAATAAACTTTGGGTTCCTTTGCTCTGTGTTAGCGATTTGGCTCACACTGTAGTCTCTCATTCGTAATGTTTGATAATTAAAAAATTAAGTCTTAATAGTGTTTTTTGAATTTTGACTCTCCTTGCGTATTCCTGGTTTTTGTTTCTGTACAATATTCTGGAGTTTGCTAGCCATTTCTTGTTACACTGATCTGTAATATTTAAATTTACACCAGTTTACAATTTATCTACAATATATCTTACAAGCTGTAATCCGAGCATCATAACAGTTTACGATCCTTGTACACACAAAGGTGTAAAAGGGTCCCATGTCTCGGTCTCTGCCCGGAATTGCTTATAACTGCATTCATAAGATTCACTGAGAGACATCGCTGATTGAAGAGAATGCTTTGTCTCCACCCAAGTGTGGTGTGCACAGGACATGTGATTGCATCTGGAAACTGTGAATGGAGCTTTAAGTTACCTGTGGTGCAGCTTCTGTCTGCCTAGGTGGCAGTTCTGTTTTCCATCTGTGTATATGTCTTCCTGTTTTGATGAGAGAAATTTAGCACACATACCAAGGGACCCCCAGTGTTTATTCTGTCTCCATTCTTACACCTTAATCTATGCACCTGGTCAGCTAGGTGCTTGGTACAAACAGGATCTCCACTCTTTCACCATAAAGTTTGTATGGTCCACCACCCGATAACATATAAATGATATACGTACAGAAATGGATTTGAAGTCATTCGGCCGAATAACATTAATGGTAATCGTTGAACAAATTGATTCAGAACAGTTTTGTCTGTGGTTCCCATTGATTCAGAATCTTTTTTTTAATTTATTTTTTTTGTTATCGACTAACAGGTATTTTATTTGGACAAATCACTTCCAGCCAATTTTTTCACATCTAATAAATAGCAAATGGTGTTGTTTAGGCCAAGCGATCAGTTATAACGTCATCCTTTATTTGTCATTGGTGGGTTTTAAAACCCAGCAAACAGCATTGGCTATAAAGAGGATTACAGCAGTACCACTCACGGCTTTGTGTTTTCACCTCTCGTACATGTGTGTTGACTGGCAGGCTGTTATTGGGAGAAAACCAACCTCTTCTGTTTATATTTCAGGAGGAAGATGGACTGAGAATGAGAAAACCGCAAACGGCAAATAATCCTCTGTCTTCATCATCCACCCTGGCGAAAGAGGAGGGTTTAAACACTCGGATACTTGCCCTCATCATCTTGTTCTTCATTATTGGTGTAATTGTGGGGAAAGTGGCCTTGTAAATGGAGCATGTAAAATACAGAAATCATACTGTCAATGGTGTAGCCATATCAAGAAAGTTTAAATTTAACAATGTTAACAATGTTTAAAAAGGAGAGAAAATATAAAACATTTCACAGTTCTCGCCTTCAAGTACCTCCCTGTGCAATTATACCGTCCGCTTCTGACGTCACGTCCTCACAGTATGATCCATTAGCTCGAATAACAGACATCATGATTAATAATTTAACATCGTACTGTCTAATGTTATTTTAATGAAGAAGAAAACACATTTTTTACCTCTGGGAATGTGTTGCTGGGTTATATCTTTTAAAAAAAACAAAAACAAAAAAATGAGAATAATACTCGCACTGATCTGCCCCCCTCCCTGGTGGTAATAGATGGTAGCTTATTGTTTCCAGATTATATACATATATGAATATATTAATCATACATGCTGCTTATAAATGATGTCTCCTTGTTTGTCCATCTCTTGAACCCTGGCCTCACGCAGTTGTTGCCCTCACTCCCGACTTCAGTTTTGTAGAAGTTCTGCCCGGTGCACAGAGGGGATATATTGGTTTGTGGGTTTCCTAGTTCCTACGGTTCTATATCAATGGTTACAAGTTGTTCGGTTTAGGTGATGCTTTGCAAGACTTTATGAACATGGACTGTTTCTTGCTCCAGGTTGGCATTGTAGATAAAGCAAACCGTATCTGGTAATGTTTAAGTATTGACATGAAGAAACACACCTTTATTTTATTTTTTTTAAAGGGACCAAGCAACACTAAATACATGTTTCTCTTGTGCAGTGAGATAAAAGGATTCTTCTATCAACAGGTTAAACACGCTCCTGTCCTACCTTGTGTTAAAACTGGACAATATAAACACACGTGGGTGCGTGCAATATAAATATGTGTATCTAATAGATGTCTTGAGTTGCTTTTTGTAGTAACACATCTGTACAATCTTCTGCTGAAAAGAACTCCTGAATATTTTGCATGCGGGGATGTAAGAATAAGATAAAAATGACATTAATCCTGAAAGCCTCCCTTCCAGGCAATAGACCAGTGTTTGTGATTGTGTGCAGCTCTTTGCAAAGGCACTAGGTGGTGCTATTGCTTTTTAAGACCTTCTGCCTAGATTGTCTTATATTATTTGCTTATGTCTCACCTGTTTATGCATGAAGATGATTGACAGAAAACATTAAATACCACTTGGGATATTCACTAAATTACGAATTGTTGAGAATTGAACAGGCAATTGCAAATTGTTAGAGCAAAATGGAACTTGAAAGCTAGCACAGTTTAAAAAAAAAAGGTTTTCTAGCTAATTTATTTTGATCTAAAATTAGCTTTTCCCTTTTGCGTTCTTCACAATTCCCAGTTTAGTAAATATGCCCTGAGCATGCTCTTCACTGTGTAATAAATTGGGAACGCCAGCGTGCAAGAGATTTCAAGTTATAATATTAGCTTTGTCTCCATATTTTCCTCTTTGTGAAAATGAATAGTAAGAATTGAAATCCCCTACTATTTAGATTCTGGCCCTGTATGTAATATAGCAGGTATCCTGTAATCGGCTTTATTGCTTTAACAGCTGTACCCACGAATGTTTCCCAGCTCCTGTCTTCCGCTTTCTAGATCTCTTCACTTTGTGCAGGTTTGCACATATAAATTATATCTGGGGATCAGGATTGTGGTACCGGGTTCCTTTACAGTGTCGTTTTATTAAGTTCTCCTGTGCCAAAAGCTTCATGCTAAGTTCAGGCTTGCTTGTTTTTATATGTATTCATGGGACGAGTCACAGGGAGGGGGCAGTTCTGGCCATTTCATACCTGGGGAGAGAAGAGATTTCTGACGATCAATCATTAGCTGACTGTCTGAGGAGCAGCCTTGTCACGGCTCGGGCGATATGTAGGACAAGTTTGTTGTTCGTTCTAAGCAAACTGTTTAGTCTTCTTACAAAAGTTAGGGTTGTCCACACCCTCTTCCAAAATTAAAATATTAAAGAAAAACTAAGATTTGGATTTTTGTCTAATTGGTTCTCTTTTACATGGTATACACATTGTCTGTGTTAGCTGTGACCTCGTATTAAGTATCATGTGAGCTCTGTACCATGACTTATCTGACTGTAATGGCTGCTAATGGGAGCTTGGATCCAGATCTCAGTCTATGTAGCTTTCTGGGGTTCACCAGACAAAGAGAAGAGGCACACATGTGAGGAAGGCTGAACTTGACGGACACAAGTCTCTTTTCAGCTATGTAACAGTTAGCAAATGTCACACCATGCATCGTAATAATAGGGCTGTGCAAAACTAAATCTCATGCCTTTCACTTGGATGCAGTTAGTGTTAGGCCATGCCACTGTGTGTGCCAACATTTAACTCATGTCAGGGAGGGGCACGTTACTAGTTAGGCAACAATCTCCAACAGGCTGTATAGTAATAAAAAATGCAAAATTCAGACTAAAATATCCCAGCTGGAGAATGGTTCCTACATGTCATTTACATTTTAATTTGCTACAATTTAGAGTTGGTTTTATGAATAAACTCTGGTTGTGATTCCTGAACCACCGACAGGGCTGTTTACTAGGGCTGAAACCACTTATTGCTAATAATCAATATTAGCATTGAGCTGAAGTGGTCTGGGTGCCTATAGTGGTCAATCGTTGTCATTATCGATTAGTTGATAGGTGCTGCTTTACAGCTGGCAAATCAGATTTAAATTGCATTTTTCCCACTGGTGATCTAATCTTTCGCTACCTGCACTCCAAGTTCTGAACACTGGAAGACCGAGCCGAGTGATGCGCCGCCCCTCGCCCCTTTACACACATTTTGTCCCACATCTACCGTCTGTCAGGCTGAGGATGATTTTCTTTCTGTGCTGCAGAGTCTGCAAAGTCATCCCTGGGTAATCTATTCCTGTTCGGTGAGCAGCATGGGAAATGTAGTCTTATCATAGCTGCCTTGTCATAGCCCGCAGTGAACAACTGTTGTTATTGGGGTGCGGTCTGTAATCTTAATGGGAATGGACTGGACAATGCCTAAGTTGGCTTTGTCCTGTGCAGACACTGTTGTGGGTTGGAGCATGGCTGGACTAATGTCTTACATCCCCTGACGGCCAGTAACTGGATTATTGGACCCGATCCAAACTTGACTAGTAACCTCACTATGGCTATCCCCACTGCCTCCTCTCTGAGCCCTGCTGCACCCTACAAAGTGATCTGCACCTTTTACCTATTTCCCCTACCAACTCTTCACCTGACGTGTAAATCCCAGTGAAACACTCCGCACAAGCCTTTAGACCCACTCCGCACACGCCAGTTGTAGCTACAGACCCAATCCGCACCTGCAATCTTTTATTTCCAATTAATCAAGAAAAAAATAATCATTAGTTGCAGTCCTACTATTTACTAAAGTGTAAAATTATGCACAGCTGGTCTACTAAAATATAATTTTGATGAAAATCTGACCTACTAAAATTTCATTTTTTTTTTCTCCTGCTGCAGCCGAATGAAAGCTATATTGCTAGCATTCATACAGTACATCTACCTAGCTCAGAGTCCTTTATTGATTCACCTCCCTGATACTTCTCACACTTTACATCCATTTCAAGTGGTTTGATTTACAATATTTCAAATCCTATTTACTGACTCTTTTAACAGAGTGCCAGTGCTTTAAGGGATCTTTTCAATGTTCTTTTCCCATAAAGTCTGCCGTACCAGGAAGTTGCTCCTCTGCCACACCATTTACCTGACATCAGACAAGAGGGAGACTCAATTTCGACAAGTGATATAAGCCATGATGGATACAATGACCAGCACCATAAATCGCCTTTGTACGGTCGCCTTAATCCAAACATATTTTATTATAATGCATATAATTAATATTTCCCAAAAAAACAAATATGTATTTATTAAAAATTAGCACATATATTTCCCAATATATGGCCTAAAATTTTTTTCCCACTAACTGCAGAACTGGCCCTTTTTGTCCAACACTTACTGTCTAATGCTGGGCATTGTTCAATCCTACGCTTCTTATTGGTAAGTATGGAAGACAAATCTGCAGTCCTATGTTTCTTAAAGATGGGTGGTTTTATTGAGACTTAGAGATTCATATTACATTAATGCTGTATTAGCTCAAGTGACTTGTTTTAATTCTCTCTTTTTAAATGTCAATTTATATATTGAATTGCTGTATAAAGCTATAATTTATCAGTCTCTGCAATCCATTGTAGGAATCCGTTATATTCCACAAAGGTTGTTTAGCAAGTTATCGGCTAAGCAGGCTGTTAACATCAGACAGAATCTCACTGAGCACGATAGGAGTTGGAGTGCAGCAGGTACATGTACTCACTATTACAGGACATGAGTTCCCAACAAAGTGACTTCCTTCTCGCAGACATAGCTAGAGAAAAGGTAAAAAACCAGAGCCGTTTAAAGTCTATTGCAGAGTTGGTTAAATGGCCAAAGAATCAAAAGGCAGGAGCTTTGACGCTGTTAGTTTTTCAATAAATGACAAAATTGGGTAAATTACATTTGAATGGAAAAATTCAAGCAAAAATAGCAAAACGATGACTTGCCCAGTTAGATAATTTTCCCAAATGTGTCTGGTTTCAGTTGGCTGAAACTCCCAAGTCTGTGTGTCTCTATATAATGCACCCAGCCACTATTGGACCAATTCCAAGTCTGTGTGTGTCTATATAATGCACCCAGCCACTATTGGACCAATTCCATGTCTGCGTGTGTCTATATAATGCACCCAGCCACTATTGGACCAATTCCAAGTCTGCGTGTGTCTATATAATGCACCCAGCCACTATTGGACCAATTCCAAGTCTGTGTGTGTCTATATAATGTACCCAGCCACTATTGGACCAATACCAGGTCTGTGTGTGTCTATATAATGCACTCAGCCACTATTGGACCAATACCAGGTCTGTGTGTCTATATAATGAACCCAGACACTATTGGACCAATACCAGGTCTGTGTGTGTCTATATAATGCACTCAGCCACTATTGGACCAATTCCAAGTCTGTGTGTGTCTATATAATCCACCCAGCCACTATTGGACCAATACCAGGTCTGTGTGTGTCTATATAATGCACTCAGCCACTATTGGACCAATACCAGGTCTGTGTGTCTATATAATGCAATCATCCACTATTGGACCAATACCAGGTCTGTGTGTCTATATAATGCACTCAGCCACTATTGGACCAATACCAGGTCTGTGTGTCTATATAATGCACTCAGCCACTATTGGACCAATTCCAAGTCTGTGTGTGTCTATATAATGCACCAGCCACTATTGGACCAATTCCAAGTCTGTGTGTCTATATAATGCACTCAGCCACTATTGGACCAATACCAAGTCTGTGTGTCTATATAATGCACTCAGCCACTATTGGACCAATACCAGGTCTGTGTGTCTATAGAATGCACTCAGCCACTATTGGACCAATACCAGGTCTGTGTGTCTATATAATGAACCCAGCCACTATTGGACCAGCATTGTGTCACATGCTGAATATAGATGCAAAAGTCGCAGGACACATATTGCCGGTTATGGAGAAAGTATTTCTTGTGGCGGATTGGCAGCCCTACATTTACAAAAACAGTGTTTATCTCAGGAATTGAACATTTTTAAAAACAGAAACCACTCAAATGTGTAGTATATTGTTGAATGAAAGAGCCTGCTCTGTACTTAGTTTCTAGATAATTTTTTTACATTAGTACATTACCCATATAGACATATTTACAATATATTTGACAAGATATGCAATTATTAAAGTTAATACATTTATATCATTTTGTTTGACTGTAGGAGAATCACAACCCTGTAGAGGTTGAAATTTTGTACCTTAAAAACCAAAATGCCAGTTTGGACCATTTATACCTTACTATATATTGTAAGTTTGTTAGAGTCAGGCAGAGATGCAATAAGGGCGATAGACTCAGTGGGATGGTGTACCCTAGGTGATTGCTGCCTGACACACTTAGAGCCCAATGATTAGAGTCCGGTAGGGCTACAATAATGGCGATAGGCTCAGTGGGATGGTGTACCCTAGATGATTGCTGCCATACTCACATAGAGACGAATGATTAGGGTCAGGCAGGGCTACAATAAGGGCAATAGGCTCAGTGGGATGGTCTACCCTAGGTGATTGCTGCCTGACAAACATAGAGCCCAATGATTAGGGTCAGGCAGGGCTGCAATAAGGGCGATAGGCTCAGCGGGATGGCCATGCCTTGGCGGGGGCTAGGTAAGTGATGCTCAGCACACTTGAGTAGAGGAGGTTGGTAGGATGTTGGCCTTTTGTCTGGTGTATCTGGGCTGCTCCCATCCGTAGGCCTCTCACCCATGTACACAAGAGATCGCCCACTGCTGTCCTGTTCCGTTTTAAAAAGTTCATATTCTATGTGTGGTAGCCGAATTCCTAATGCGTTGCAACCACCTGTGTCTGTGATATCCTGTTCTTCCCGTATGCGCCATTTGCCAGACATGCCACAGCTGCCATGGTGAGCGTTGTTCAGCATCCGCAGGATGGACTGGTTCAGTGGTCGGACCCTAGCGTGGCTTACCTTAAAAATCAGTTCTGTGCCCCCCCTGACATGCTCTGAGTGGACTCCTTTAGTATAGTGTCCTGAGGCATACAGGGTGAATGTGGGCTGCTTGCAGAGTGGGTCAGCATAATGGTAATATAATCCTTCCCACGTGTGGTTCTCCCCGTGGAAGGTTAAGGAGCGCGTAAGGAAGAGGACGGCGGGGCGTACCTCACATTGGCTGCTCACCCATTTTCCGCTGAGCTGCACCTGGGTGTGCGGAACGTGAGGTAAGACAGGTGGATGATGTTCATTGGAGCGTAGAATTAGAAGGCAGACCTGGCACGGCTGGATGTGATGCTGTGAAAAGACAAAACCATTTCCTCGGTCAAACAAACACTCGGAAAGAACACAAGATACTGAGTAACAGGAGCTGCTAGACTTAAAGGAATACAGCATTGGAGGCTGGTGGTAGATTCACTCCATCCTACCTTAAAATATCACGTCACCCCTGTTAAATCCATTCAATAAATGTGTAAATAAAACCACCCCTGGTATCGTATCATAATTCCCACAAATTTGAGAAATGGTGGATGGTGTTTATTCACTAAACATTGAGCTCTGTTGATCTAATAAAGGATACATATATTACATACATTATATATAGCGATTGTATCGAGCGCCATACCGTGAGAGTGGGTGTATAAAGCATTGGCACCGTTAACGGTTCCCCTGTTATTGGGATGTGGTCACCTACCATTGCACTTTGCAGGGGCGTCTGGTATCCGGTTGGCCGGTAATGGACTCTCTCTGACTTCTTAGTATGAATGTCTCCGAGGAAGAGCTTCTCCACCAAAGCCCCCACATGGGGGGCATTGTATTGCTTCTCCGCTCGGACCAGGCTTAGTTCATGCATGGTAAATCCAATGGCAGCCGTACAGTCCCTGTCTGCCTTGGCACTGAGAAGTTCGTACACTCTACCAGGTGCCCAAGGCCGTCCAGAAGAGACAAACCCAGCACATGTCCGGTTCATCTGAGCTGCAATGTGGCTCATTGCCTCCTGGCTGTAGAAGATCACCCCGACTTTGTGCAGGCTGTAATCTGCCTCCGTAGCACCCCTTGTTATCCAGGAGGCTTGGCGCAGCCGTACCTTTCCTTTGATCACTAAGGAGTAGGAGGGCTTCCTGCAGTCATGGTCTCCATAGTAGAATTGCAAGGCTTTGAATAAACGATTTGGATAGAACGTGTAGGATCTTGTGAGGAATTCAGGTCCAGGGCGGACTTCACACCTATCAGTAAAGAAAGTGCAAGTCAGGATGGTGTGCATTGGAACCTCATTTCTAAAATAATTTTTATATTTAACGAGAGCTTAGTTGATGAATAGAACCCTGGCTCATTTTTAGCACACAGGTCCAACTTGTCGACGAACTTAAAGGAAAAACAAACACATGAAAGTGGATGCGATAAGTTTAAGATTGGTACTAGACGCTGACCCATACTTATTCTAATTACAAAGCACCGAGTATACGGGAAATGGCTCCATCTGACTTTAAAATAAGTTAAATAAAAATAACCTTTGAAATCTGCTTCCAGGGACAGGAGATGAGGTAGACTCTCCTTTGATGACACCCCTGGATGATGTAAAAATGACATTAAAGCGATTTACTTTTGCAGAGTTAGGGAAATCAATTTCTTCCTTCTATTAAAAGTAATAATAAAGAGCGAGGTTGGAATGGATGTAATATTCCCGGGAGAGACGGGTAGATTACTAGACAAACACTGGCCTTGTGATATCTAGACATTGACAGGAAGTAGAATCGGAGACCTTGTCCCTGCCATGTACATTAAACCATCTGGCCCTCTCTAGATATTAGTGCATATAGTGCATGTCTAGTCCTATTACATTAGCTTATTATGTGTGGTATTATGGGATGGAGGTAGGTACCATGCACGTCTAGTCATTACATGTGGTATTATGGGGTGGAGGTAGGTACCATGCACGTTTAGTCATTACATGTAGTATTATGGGGTGGAGGTAAGTACCATGCACGTCTAGTCATTACATGTAGTATTATGGGATGGCGGTAGGTACCATGCACGTCTAGTCATTACATGTAGTATTATGGGATGGCGGTAGGTACCATGCACGTCTAGTTATTACATGTGGTATTATGGGGTGGAGGTAGGTACCATGCACGTCTAGTTATTACATGTAGTATTATGGGGTGGAGGTAGGTACCATGCACGTCTAGTTATTACATGTAGTATTATGGGGTGGGGGTAGGTACCATGCACGTCTAGTTATTACATGTAGTATTATGGGGTGGAGGTAGGTACCATGCACGTCTAGTCATTACATGTAGTATTATGGGATGGAGGTAGGTACCATGCACGTCTAGTCATTACATGTAGTATTATGGGGTGGAGGTAAGTACCATGCACGTCTAGTTATTACATGTAGTATTATGGGATGGCGGTAGGTACCATGCACGTCTAGTCATTACATGTAGTATTATGGGGTGGAGGTAGGTACCATGCACGTCTAGTTATTACATGTAGTATTATGGGGTGGAGGTAGGTACCATGCACGTTTAGTCATTACATGTGGTATTATGGGATGGAGGTAGGTACCATGCACGTCTAGTTATTACATGTAGTATTATGGGGTGGAGGTAGGTACCATGCACGTCTAGTTATTACATGTAGTATTATGGGGTGGAGGTAGGTACCATGCACGTCTAGTCATTACATGTGGTATTATGGGATGGAGGTAGGTACCATGCACGTCTAGTTATTACATGTAGTATTATGGGTGGAGGTACCATGCATGTCTAGTCATTACATGTAGTATATGGGATGGCGGTAGGTACCATGCACGCCTAGTCATTACATGTAGTATTATGGGATGGATGTAGGTACCATGCACGCCTAGTTATTACATGTGGTATTATGGGTGGAGGTAGGTACCATGCCTAGTTATTACATGTAGTATTATGGTGGGAGGTAGGTACCATGCACGCCTAGTTATTACATGTAGTATTATGGGATGGGGGTAGGTACCATGCACGCCTAGTTATTATGGATGTAGTATTATGGGTGGAGGTAGGTACCATGCACGTCTAGTTATTACATGTAGTATTATGGGATGGCGTTAGGTACCATGCACGTCTAGTTATTACATGTAGTATTATGGGATGGCGGTAGGTACCATGCACGTCTAGTTATTACATGTAGTATTATGGGGTGGAGGTAGGTACCATGCACGTCTAGTTATTACATGTAGTATTATGGGGTGGAGGTAGGTACCATGCACGTTTAGTCATTACATGTAGTATTATGGGGTGGAGGTAAGTACCATGCACGTCTAGTTATTACATGTAGTATTATGGGGTGGAGGTAAGTACCATGCACGTCTAGTTATTACATGTAGTATTATGGGGTGGAGGTAGGTACCATGCACGTCTAGTTATTACATGTAGTATTATGGGGTGGCGGTAGGTACCATGCACGTCTAGTCATTACATGTAGTATTATGGGATGGCGGTAGGTACCATGCACGTCTAGTCATTACATGTAGTATTATGGGATGGGGGTAGGTACCATGCACGTCTAGTTATTACATGTAGTATTATGGGGTGGAGGTAGGTACCATGCACGTCTAGTCATTACATGTAGTATTATGGGATGGAGGTAGGTACCATGCACGTCTAGTCATTACATGTAGTATTATGGGATGGAGGTAGGTACCATGCACGTCTAGTTATTACATGTAGTATTATGGGGTGGAGGTAGGTACCATGCACGTCTAGTCATTACATGTAGTATTATGGGATGGCGGTAGGTACCATGCACGTCTAGTCATTACATGTAGTATTATGGGATGGCGGTAGGTACCATGCACGTCTAGTCATTACATGTGGTATTATGGGGTGGAGGTAGGTACCATGCACGTCTAGTCATTACATGTAGTATTATGGGGTGGAGGTAGGTACCATGCACGTCTAGTTATTACATGTGGTATTATGGGATGGAGGTAGGTACCATGCACGTTTAGTCATTACATGTAGTATTATGGGGTGGAGGTAGGTACCATGCACGTCTAGTTATTACATGTAGTATTATGGGATGGGGGTAGGTACCATGCACGTCTAGTCATTACATGTAGTATTATGGGGTGGAGGTAGGTACCATGCACGTCTAGTTATTACATGTAGTATTATGGGATGGGGGTAGGTACCATGCACGTCTAGTTATTACATGTAGTATTATGGGGTGGAGGTAGGTACCATGCACGTTTAGTCATTACATGTAGTATTATGGGATGGAGGTGGGTACCATGCACGTCTAGTTATTACATGTGGTATTATGGGATGGAGGTAGGTACCATGCACGTCTAGTTATTACATGTGGTATTATGGGATGGAGGTAGGTACCATGCACGTCTAGTCATTCTAGTTATTACATGTGGTATTATGGGGTGGAGGTAGGTACCATGCACGTCTAGTCATTACATGTGGTATTATGGGGTGGAGGTAGGTACCATGCACGTCTAGTTATTACATGTGGTATTATGGGATGGAGGTAGGTACCATGCACGTCTAGTCATTACATGTAGTATTATGGGGTGGAGGTAGGTACCATGCACGTCTAGTTATTACATGTAGTATTATGGGATGGCGGTAGGTACCATGCACGTCTAGTTATTACATGTAGTATTATGGGATGGCGGTAGGTACCATGCACGTCTAGTTATTACATGTAGTATTATGGGGTGGAGGTAGGTACCATGCACGTCTAGTTATTACATGTAGTATTATGGGGTGGAGGTAGGTACCATGCACGTTTAGTCATTACATGTAGTATTATGGGGTGGAGGTAAGTACCATGCACGTCTAGTTATTACATGTAGTATTATGGGGTGGAGGTAAGTACCATGCACGTTTAGTTATTACATGTAGTATTATGGGGTGGAGGTAGGTACCATGCACGTTATGGGGTGGAGGTGGGTACCATGCACGTCTAGTCATTACATGTAGTATTATGGGGTGGAGGTAAGTACCATGCACGTCTAGTCATTACATGTAGTATTATGGGATGGCGGTAGGTACCATGCACGTCTAGTCATTACATGTAGTATTATGGGGTGGAGGTAGGTACCATGCACGTCTAGTCATTACATGTAGTATTATGGGGTGGAGGTAAGTACCATGCACGTCTAGCCATTACATGTAGTATTATGGGGTGGAGGTAGGTACCATGCACGTCTAGTCATTACATGTAGTATTATGGGGTGGAGGTAGGTACCATGCACGTCTAGTCATTACATGTAGTATTATGGGATGGCGGTAGGTACCATGCACGTCTAGTTATTACATGTAGTATTATGGGGTGGAGGTAGGTACCATGCACGTTTAGTCATTACATGTAGTATTATGGGATGGCGGTAGGTACCATGCACGTCTAGTCATTACATGTAGTATTATGGGATGGGGGTAGGTACCATGCACGTCTAGTCATTACATGTGGTATTATGGGGTGGAGGTAGGTACCATGCACGTCTAGTCATTACATGTAGTATTATGGGATGGAGGTAGGTACCATGCACGTCTAGTGATTACATGTAGTATTATGGGGTGGAGGTAAGTACCATGCACGTCTAGTCATTACATGTAGTATTATGGGATGGAGGTGGGTACCATGCACGTCTAGTCATTACATGTAGTATTATGGGGTGGAGGTAAGTACCATGCACGTCTAGTCATTACATGTAGTATTATGGGATGGAGGTGGGTACCATGCACGTCTAGTTATTACATGTAGTATTATGGGGTGGAGGTAGGTACCATGCACGTTTAGTTATTACATGTAGTATTATGGGGTGGAGGTAGGTACCATGCACGTTATGGGGTGGAGGTGGGTACCATGCACGTCTAGTCATTACATGTAGTATTATGGGGTGGAGGTAAGTACCATGCACGTCTAGTCATTACATGTAGTATTATGGGATGGCGGTAGGTACCATGCACGTCTAGTCATTACATGTAGTATTATGGGGTGGAGGTAGGTACCATGCAAGTCTAGTCATTACATGTAGTATTATGGGGTGGAGGTAAGTACCATGCACGTCTAGTCATTACATGTAGTATTATGGGGTGGAGGTAGGTACCATGCACGTCTAGTCATTACATGTAGTATTATGGGGTGGAGGTAGGTACCATGCACGTCTAGTCATTACATGTAGTATTATGGGATGGCGGTAGGTACCATGCACGTCTAGTTATTACATGTAGTATTATGGGGTGGAGGTAGGTACCATGCACGTTTAGTCATTACATGTAGTATTATGGGATGGCGGTAGGTACCATGCACGTCTAGTCATTACATGTAGTATTATGGGATGGGGGTAGGTACCATGCACGTCTAGTCATTACATGTGGTATTATGGGGTGGAGGTAGGTACCATGCATGTCTAGTCATTACATGTAGTATTATGGGATGGAGGTAGGTACCATGCACGTCTAGTCATTACATGTAGTATTATGGGGTGGAGGTAAGTACCATGCACGTCTAGTCATTACATGTAGTATTATGGGATGGAGGTGGGTACCATGCACGTCTAGTTATTACATGTAGTATTATGGGATGGAGGTAGCTACCATGCACGTCTAGTCATTACATGTAGTATTATGGGGTGGAGGTAGGTACCATGCACGTTTAGTCATTACATGTAGTATTATGGGGTGGAGGTAAGTACCATGCACGTCTAGTTATTACATGTAGTATTATGGGATGGCGGTAGGTACCATGCACGTCTAGTCATTACATGTAGTATTATGGGGTGGAGGTAGGTACCATGCACGTTTAGTCATTACATGTAGTATTATGGGGTGGAGGTAGGTACCATGCACGTTTAGTCATTACATGTAGTATTATGGGGTGGAGGTAGGTACCATGCACGTTTAGTCATTACATGTAGTATTATGGGGTGGAGGTAGGTACCATGCACGTTATGGGGTGGAGGTGGGTACCATGCACGTCTAGTCATTACATGTAGTATTATGGGGTGGAGGTAAGTACCATGCACGTCTAGTTATTACATGTAGTATTATGGGATGGAGGTAAGTACCATGCACGTCTAGTTATTACATGTAGTATTATGGGATGGAGGTGGGTACCATGCACGTCTAGTCAGGTTACATTAGTTTGTCACACATGTTAGATGGAGATGCGTTTCCTGCTCACTATGTAACAGGTTAGTAGCGTCCATTATCCACTAACACCCAGGTCAAGGCCACGTTCTAGAAGCTCACCCTGTGGAGATCCAGTTGCCTTCGATACTGGGAGGTAGTAGAGCAGTAATACGTGCCCCGTCCTGTAGGTGGTGCAGTTGGTAAAGACACTGGTCCTCCCCTTTCAGTCCGGCAGAGCTAGGAATTTGATCCATTGGATCGGGTACTTCCCAGAATTTCCTTCCAGCGACAAGTCCTGAAAACGGGACAGTTATTAACCTGACATTAAATAATCTCATTACATCACAGCACATCATAACATGTAGCTATATAGAGATAACGCTATAGGGGAGGAGAATGTAAACACTCCATGTGGGATTTTACTATGTGGGTTTCTATTGATGATTTGTTTGTGGTTATGGGCTTCACTCTCTGTTTTGTCACATTTTGTGGCATTTTACGCCATGTAATGAAGTCTGGTAATATCGTGAATTTGACAAGTAGTAAACAAGACCATTTCACTAATATTCTGATTGATCACTTCCAGTGGAGGCTGCCCCAGTTTTCGTGGGAAATAAAATACATTTGGGCATTATTAGGACTACTGATAATTGTGGGTCTGCCATGATTATATCTGCAGTTCCAATATTTACGTCTGAAAAGTTTCTATTTTATTCTTTGATTTCCATATGTAACACGACATATAGAGCTAACAAGCTTGGGTCGCTTGGAAAATACGTCCCACAGATTGTAAATAATGGTTCTGAGAATTAAAATGGTAAAGCTGGGAGCTTCCATTTCCAACGTTGGATCTTTCCCAAATAAAAGAATCCAGGGAACACACACAGAACTTTGCTGCCTGTGGAAGGATTTGCATTTCAAACTTGTTTTAATCTATTATTTGAAGGATGAATTGTCCGGGGTCATGTTCTAAGCGTCCCACGGACAGCTTAATGTCTTCCCTCCCAAGGAATTAACCGGAATAATAACAAGCTTCAGCTTATGAAAACATTTTAGCCCCTTATGAGCCCTCAATGTTTATCTGACAGCGTGGAAGCATTGCATGGGCAGACAAAAAGCCTCCAAGTGAATTTAGGAAACTTCTATACAATGTCCGCTTCAAAGAGTGTCTACAAGATAATGTCTGTGGTCCCAGCTGGAAGGATGAGCCCACTAAGCACATTAATTGGTAGAAGATTTCAAAGTTCCTCCACACTTCATCGGTTTAGTGAATGGACTGGGCTTTGGTGGGGTCTACCTCTCAATTATTGTTTGTTTTTCTTTCAGCTAAAACCCCCCAGAAATGAGTCCTGCACTAAAACTCCCACTACTCTTGGACGGCAGTAATGGCTATAGTATTCCTTAGCTCAAACGTATAGACGTACCAAATATTGACCTTGCAGATACTCAATGCATTCCCATCACGCTACCTTACAGTCACCTGGGGGGCACTATACCACTAATCTTTGTTTTATAATTGATGGCTGCTTTGAGAAGCAGATAATTGATGTAAAAATAAAAATGAATAAACACACAAACGGCCCCCAGCCCGCTCCACTAATTCTAGAGATCAATGGGTAAAGAGGTTCAGGCCCCAAATCCCCCCTTAACAACGCCTATGGATGCATGGTACAGAGTTTCGACGGGGAGAATAAAGTCATTGCTTTAAAACATCTAAACACAGGTGACGACATAGCGGTAATACCACTAAACATTGTGTGATATTACCCTTTACCTGAATCCTGCAGGAGACACTCCTTACTACACACAGGGCACAGGGCTAATAGTGGGGCAATGAGCAGGACCAATCTTCAGGTTTCTATGAAAAATGCTTGTAGCACTTGGCTCTGGCTCCGTATCCTGCACAGAACTTGTTAGCTGTTATTAGTGACAAACATAAAAAAAACTCAAACAAATATCTTCCATTTATAAATGTGTTCGAGGTGAGCAAACTGCTCCTACCCATGTCATCTGCTGGGACCGGTCCGGATACAGAACAATATGAAAGATATTCTTTATAGTGGTATAAATATGGAACCAAACGGTTCCCACCTACCTAGAAAACATCCCAGAAAGCAGTACGTTTTGGCCATCCTGGAGTCTAGATGTGAGCAACAATTGCACAATGTATATAAACTGGGATCAGTCCATTGGGCTGAGATCAATCCACTGAGCTGGCTACACGCAGAGCTGGGGTCAGTCCATTGGGCTGGCTACACACAGAACTGGGATCAGTCCATTGGGCTGAGATCAATCCACTGAGCTGGCTATTCACAGAACTGGGATCAGTCCATTGGGCTGGTTATGCACAGAACTGGGATCGGTCCATTGGGCTAGCTATGCACAGAGCTGGGATCAGTCCATTGGGCTGGCTACACATTAAGCTGGGATTCAGTCCATTGGGCTGGCTACACATTAAGCTGGGATTCAGTCCATTGGGATGGCTACACACAGAGCTGGAATCAGTTCATTGGGCTGAGATCAATCCACTGAGCTGGCTACACACAGAGCTGGGATCGGTCCATTGGGCTGGCTACGCACAGAGCTGGGATCGGTCCATTGGGCTGGCTACGCACAGAGCTGGGATCGGTCCATTGGGCTGGCTACACATTGAGCTGGAATCAGTTTATGGGACTAGATGCACTCAGAGCTGTGTACACACGCTGTGCTGGAGATGATGGGTCCTGGTGTGGAAGCCGTGTACACACACTGTGCTGGGATGATGGATCTTGATGTTGAGGCTCTGTGTATAACACTGTGCTGGAATGATGGGTCCTGGTGTTGCAGTCGTGTACACGCAATGTGCTGGGATTATGGGTCCTGGTGTTGAAGCCGTGTACGTGCACTGTGCTGGGATGATGGGTCCTGGTGTAGAAGCCGTGTACACGCACTGTGCTGGGATGATGGGTCCTGGTGTAGAAGCCGTGTACACGCACTGTGCTGGGATGATGGGTCCTGGTGTAGAAGCCGTGTACACGCACTGTGCTGGGATAATGGGTCCTGGTGTAGAAGCCGTGTACCCGCACTGTGCTGGGAAGATGGGTCCTGGTGTTGATGCTCTGAGCACACTGTGCTGGGATGATGGGTCCTGGTGTTGATGCTCTGAGCACACTGTGCTGGGATGATGGGTGTTTGTGCTGAGGCTCTGAGCACACTGTGCTGGGATGATGGGTGTTTGTGCTGAGGCTCTGAGCACAGTGTGCTGGGATGATGGGTGTTTGTGCTGAGGCTCTGAGCACAGTGTGCTGGGATGATGGGTGTTTGTGCTGAGGCTCTGAGCACAGTGTGCTGGGATGATGGGTGTTTGTGCTGAGGCTCTGAGCACAGTGTGCCGTTCTAGTTATTGGAACGAGGCAGTTAAGGAGAGAGGAGGAGACTTGCAGTTTGAGCAGCCAGAGACACACAGATTATTAATACAACACTTTGGCATTTCATTCACGGTCTCCCCCACTCATACATACATAGGGATACACACAAGGTATTCACAGATACACACTCAGTACCACATTCAGTCACATATCCCTACACAGCCACACAGTGAGATACTGAGCTACGTGCTGTTATAGTCTATTTTCTCCAAAAAATGAAAAATTAAATTGGCATGTCTGTTTTTGGATCCGATATCTTATTAAATTGTCGAGGGTCTACATGGGGGGACGTGGGGTAGGACAGAATATAAATCTGGGATCTTTACAGAAGTAGAACGTACAGTCTGAAATTCCCCCCAAAAAAAGAGTTATAATTTGAAAAATATAAATTTTTGTAATATTTGTCATACAACTGCTATAAATAAATGAAATCCTGTGTATATGAGACATTTTAAAGGGACACTGAGGGCATCAGAACATCTTCATTAAATAGAAGTTGTTATGGTGTGAGGTGGTCCCCGGGCACTGAATTATCTTCAAGGCTTAAATGATTTACAAAGAAGTCTTGCATCCGACGCCCGTCAGCTCTGCTCAGCAACTTCCGTTGCAGTCCGAAGTTTGAATAAGGAAGCCTCGACTGGCGTCCGCTGATCGACTAAGAGAGTCTCAGTAGCGTGATCAGTAGCTTCCTATTTACAAAACAGAGAGAAACGTCAGTATGTTGCATACTCTGCTTTGTGAATGGGGAGCTACTGATAGGCTGAGAGCATCAGCGGCTCCCTGATTCAAGCCTCAGACTGCAACGGAAATCGATGGGCAGCACTGATGGGCACTGGATTTAAGAATTTGTGGTTAAATCATTCGCTAATTGTTTAACCCCTTGAGGTAAGTCAGCACCCGAGGATCTCCTCACAGCATAACTTTTTTTATTCCAATGAAGTTGTCATGGTGTCCGGAGTGTTCATCGTTAAAGGGACTCTATATTCGCCAATTTCAATGATGTGGTCTGGATGCCATGTCCCTATAGTGTTAACCCTGGAACTGAGTACATTGTCGTTGAGAAGGGGTAGCATGCCTCTAGTGGCTGTCTTCCTGTGGTGCATCTACTGCAATAACCGAGTTAAAGTTTATAGCGCAAACGAATCTCATTGAGAGCATTAGATTGGGGCAGTGTCGCTGTATATGTCCACAAGTCTCCCAATGCTACCCTATGGGTAACACCGACAATGTCAGTTAAAGAGTGTGAGCAGCGGCAAGGAAAGCAATGCACAGCAGAATGTAAGGTTGAAAATAAATGTAAAAGCACCACACTCCAGTAATATTATACATAGAAACATAGAATGTGACGGCAGATAAGAACCGTTTTCCCCATCTCTCTATGGTAAATTGCTTCCCCAGCAGATGCCAAATGCAAATTAATAAACTAATTCAACAATATATGGGTAATGCATACTGAGTAACTATAACTACTGTTTACCTTCTCTCTGAGTAAATGCATTCTACAAGACATGGAAGATATAACATTGAAATGGAGATGCTAACACCCTCTAGTGGCTGATAACATGAAGTGCATGAAGATCACACTGGTGACCCTTGTTCTGATACTTTGTACCAGGAGGTGTCTCTGGGCTCCCAATAAACACTGCTGACTGCATGAACCCGGTAACCTGAGGATGGGTCGGCGCTATTTACATTAAACACAGAAAGCGAATATCAGCTGAGTGATAAAGTGTTTCTCTGCGCACACTGGATAGGCCACCAGTCTCTGTACTATCTGTGCACAAAGCCGACACATTGAGTTCACACTCAGATAGGCAGGTCACAGCGCACTCAGAGGAATCACTCACACAACACCATATGGAGTGATAGAGACATTCACTGTCCTCTGGTGTTTATCTGTGCTCAGCCTTTTATCCATCCATCACAGCATTCCCCAGAATGATAAGATGGCTGCTAACAGGCCTTGGGCTGCCAGATCAAGAGTCGGAATGGGGGGTCTCACCATCACACATACCACCTACTAATAAATATAGTCCATTAATACGCGCTACCTACATGGGATATCTTTCAGTAGATTAGCAGACTTCATAACACATTCCAAGTGTCCTTCATCCGGGCAAAAGCTCCTTCAGTCTATATATACATTTATATTCCTGTTTGTTTAACAAAATCTCAGAATATACAGCGTGTATGGCTGTATCACAGCAATGAACGGTGTGTATGAGCGTATCACAGAGCTCCACAGCAATAAAACTCACAGTAATGCACAGTGTGTATGAGTGTATCACTGAGCTCCACAGCAATAAACCTCACAGTAATGCACAGTGTGTATGAGTGTATCACAGAGCTCCACAGCAATAAAACTCACAGTAATACGCAGGATGTATTAGTGTATCACAGAGCTCCACAGCAATAAACTCACAGTAATGTGCAGTGTGTATGAGTGTATCACAGAGCTCCACAGCAACAAAACTCACAGTAACATGAAGTGTGTATGAGTGTATCACAGAGCTCCACAGCAATAAAACTCACAGTAATACGCAGGATGTATTAGTGTATCACAGAGCTCCACAGCAATAAACTCACAGTAATGTGCAGTGTGTATGAGTGTATCACAGAGCTCCACAGCAACAAAACTCACAGTAACATGAAGTGTGTATGAGTGTATCACAGAGCTCCACAGCAATAAAACTCACAGTAATACGCAGGATGTATTAGTGTATCACAGAGCTCCACAGCAATAAACTCACAGTAATGTGCAGTGTGTATGAGTGTATCACAGAGCTCCACAGCAATAAAACTCACAGTAACATGCAGTGTGTATGAGTGTATCACAGAGCTCCACAGACATAAAACTCACAGTAACGAGCAGTGTGTATGAGTGCATCACAGAGCTCCACAGCAATAAAACTCACAGTAACATGCTGTGTGTATGAGAGTATCACAGAGCTCCACAGCAATAAAACTCACAGTAACATGCTGTGTGTATAAGAGTATGACAGAGCTCCACAGCAACAAAACTCACAGTAACATGAAGTGTGTATGAGTGCATCACAGAGCTCCACAGCAATAAAACTCACAGTAACATGCAGTGTGTATGAGTGCATCACAGAGCTCCACAGCAATAAAACTCACAGTAACATGCTGTGTGTATGAGAGTATCACAGAGCTCCACAGCAATAAATCATAACAATATAGCACAATCAATAAGACAGTATCGGGATGTGATTCGATCTCATTCCTTTCCTCCCCCGTTTTAGTTTCTTGCTGAAGTGCCGTCAGTATATTATTCCTGGAATATGAGCCCTCTCTAATGTCGAGCCTGTCTCCATGTCTCTGCCTTTTGGCCCATGTTGTGGATTCGGATGATAGAGGGCTCAGCAATATTAGTTTACCTTGCGCTATTTTCCGCCCGTGTGGGCTGCTACCTGCATTTGGCTTCCAATTGGAATTTATTGCTGTTTGAATACTAACAAACCGCCCAAAACCAACAAAAGAACCAATCAGAGGAAGGAAACAGTTAAAGGGTTTTCTTCATGTTCTGGCCGAGCAGAGTGCCCACAATTATTTAATACTTCTGCTGGAATGAACACTGTGTCTACGGTGCCAAGATCTTTCCGATCCTTACTGTAGCCACAAACTAGTTTGTAATGGAGCCAGGCTTTTCAACCACAAATACCAGCCACGCCAGCGTCACAGCAAGATTATACACCACTAATACCAGCCATGGCCAGCGTCACAGCGAGATTATACACCATTAATACCAGCCACGGCCAGCGTCACAGCGAGATTATACCCCACTAATACCAGCCATGGCCAGCGTCACAGCGAGATTATACACCATTAATACCAGCCACGGCCAGCGTCACAGCGAGATTATACCCCACTAATACCAGCCACGGCCAGCGTCACAGCGAGATTATACACCACTAATACCAGCCATGGCCAGCGTCACAGCGAGATTATACACCATTAATACCAGCCACGCCAGCGTCACAGCAAGATTATACACCACTAATACCAGCCATGGCCAGCATCACAGCGAGATTATACACCATTAATACCAGCCACGGCCAGCGTCACAGCGAGATTATACCCCACTAATACCAGCCATGGCCAGCGTCACAGCGAGATTATACACCACTAATACCAGCCACGGCCAGCGTCACAGCGAGATTATACCCCACTAATACCAGCCACGGCCAGCGTCACAGCGAGATTATACACCACTGATACCAGCTACGGCCAGCGTCACAGCGAGATTATACACCATTAATACCAGCCACGGCCAGCGTCACAGCGAGATTATACACCACTAATACCAGCCACGGCCAGCGTCACAGCGAGATTATACACCATTAATACCAGCCACGGCCAGCGTCACAGCGAGATTATACACCACTAATACCAGCCACGGCCAGCGTCACAGCGAGATTATACACCACTAATACCAGCCACGGCCAGCGTCACAGCGAGATTATACACCATTAATACCAGCCACGGCCAGCGTCACAGCGAGATTATACCCCACTAATAGCAGCTACGGCCAGCGTCACAGCGAGATTATACACCATTAATACCAGCCACGGCCAGCGTCACAGCGAGATTATACACCACTAATAGCAGCTACGGCCAGCGTCACAGCGAGATTATACACCATTAATACCAGCCACGGCCAGCGTCACAGCGAGATTATACACCATTAATACCAGCCACGGCCAGCGTCACAGCGAGATTATACCCCACTAATAGCAGCTACGGCCAGCGTCACAGCGAGATTATACACCATTAATACCAGCCACGGCCAGCGTCACAGCGAGATTATACCCCACTAATACCAGCCACGGCCAGCGTCACAGCGAGATTATACACCACTGATACCAGCTACGGCCAGCGTCACAGCGAGATTATACACCATTAATACCAGCCACGGCCAGCGTCACAGCGAGATTATACACCACTAATACCAGCCACGGCCAGCGTCACAGCGAGATTATACACCATTAATACCAGCCACGGCCAGCGTCACAGCGAGATTATACACCACTAATACCAGCCACGGCCAGCGTCACAGCGAGATTATACACCATTAATACCAGCCACGGCCAGCGTCACAGCGAGATTATACCCCACTAATAGCAGCTACGGCCAGCGTCACAGCGAGATTATACACCATTAATACCAGCCACGGCCAGCCACGGCCAGCGAGATTATACACCACTAATAGCAGCTACGGCCAGCGTCACAGCGAGATTATACACCATTAATACCAGCCACGGCCAGCGTCACAGCGAGATTATACACCACTGATAC